TCCAGGACAGACAGACACCCCACCTCCCCACAACACACGTGGAAACCAGGGATCCAGGACAGACTGACAGACAGACACACATGCACACAGAACCCAAGCATCTGGGACACACAGCAGTGCCTGAGTAAAGTCAGCACTGCCCACCCCCATCCTCCCTGGCACCCCCCGCAGGGCACGGGGAGTATCAACCTCCAGCTCTGGGACCTGCCCTTCCCTAGGAAACAGACCATGACTAATCATCCTGCAGAGGCCAGCAGGTGCAACCCCCTCAACCCCTGGGGAAGGGGGCAGCAAACCCAACTCAGCTCCCCCAGACCTGGCCAGGCAGCCCGTGCCCAGCCACCCAGCCCTGGGGCCCAACAAACACACCCTATCCTAAGCCCAAATTGTCCTACCACCACCCAGCAAAGCCTGATGCTGCATGTCCTGGGGCTGTCTTCAGGAGGTACTGTCAGCAGCATGGAAAACCAGACCCCCATGGAGCTGGCACCATGCACAGACCACCCCTACCCAGTCACCTCTGTGACAAAGACAAGCCACTGAGGTGGATGGGAGGTACGAGGATGGACCAGACAGCACCGGCTTGTCACTTGGGGACCCATTGTGGCACACCACACTCCTGTCTCCAGTATCCTGCTGCCATGGAGAGGGGAGGACAGAGACTGCAGCAGCTGTGGGGGAGATTGGGGCAGGAGGGGCACTGTGGTGTAGGGAGGTGGGGTCTCCAGGACTGGGGCTTTTCCACATGCACTCACACACATGAAACCCATGTGTCTTGGTCACACACGCGTCCACACGGAACCCAGGTGTGTGGGTCACACACACACAAGCATACACACGCACACCCCCCAGGCATCCAAGAGATGCCTCCCCTATCATGCACACCCCACCCACAGCTACAAACATGGAACCCAGGAGTCCGAGGCACCCACCCATGGAGCCACCAACACACGTGGAACCCAGGCATCTGACACACACACACACACCCCACCCATACACACACAACACCCAGGAGTCCTAGACACAGCCAGGCACTTACAGCAGGAACCCAGGCACCCAGGACACACTCACAGCTTTTACTTCCCCAAGATTCGGCTCCGTTCCCAGCTGCCTGAGCAACTGCAGGTCGTTAGCACAATCAAGCTGCTAACATGTGTGCACACGTGTGTGTGTGTGCACATGTGTGGGTCACACATGGGTTCCTGGGTGGGGAGAGGAGAGACACCCGGGTTCTGTGAGTGTTTGTGTGCATCTGTGAGCACAGTCCTGGATGCCTGGGTACGTGTGGTGCGTCCATGCTGGGGGGTTGGGGCAAGTCCGGGAGGTAAGGCACCCCCCTGGCCTTCACACCACATGTACACCCTGGGTGGCAACAGGGCCCAGACAGGCAGTCCTTCCATCCATGGCCCTTTGACCCCATTACTGCTCCCCAGACCCCCCATACCAACCTTTCAGGCTCCCAGTCACCACCCAGCCTCCCTCCCAGTTTCCCTGACCCCCACCCCAGCCACCCCAACTTCCTCCCTGAACCCCAGCTCCTGGGCCACTCCAACTGCCCCCCAACCTCCCAGATGCCCCTGACCCCCAGCCCTTCATCACCACCCAGGCCCTCCAGTCTTGCTGAGCCCCACCCCAGCTCCTCAGGCCCCTTAACTGCCACCCCAACCCCCAGATGCCTCTGAACCCCAAGTCTCCTGGACCACCTTGACTGCCCCTCCAGGGACCACCCTGACTGCCCCCCCAGACATCCAGATCCCCCGACTGCCCCCAGATCCCTGCCACCCCAAACCCCCCAATATCTGTCTTTCAGCCCACCCTCTGACCCCCACCTCAGCCACCTTGACCCAAATCCTAACCCCCTGACCATCATCCCATCCTCCAATGATCTCTGTTCCCCACAAACCCAGTCCACCTCCCAGACTCCCAAGCACCACCCTAACCCACCAGATCTCCCTACCCCCTAGCCCAGCTCCCCTGACCCCCACTCCCCAACAACCATCCTAGCCCCTGATCTCCCCTGACCCTCCTCCTAGTTCCCCTGACTCCAATGTCAGCCCTGGCCCCACTGACTCCCAGCCCACCCCGCTGCTCCACCAGCTTGCTTTGACCTCTGACTACCACCCCAGCCCCCCTGATCCCCGACTCTCAGCTCAGCCCCCCCTACTCCTTCCCACCACCCCAGAAATGGAGGGCAAGGAGCCCCCTAGTCCCAGTGAAGTGGGGGCAGGGGGGTTCTGTACCCAGCGGGGGAAGGAATTTCTGATAGCCAGTGGGGGAGGGGGCAAAGGGGTTTCCTACATCCTGGGAGAATGGCAGGGGGCACCTATACAAGGTGGGTCCATGGCAGGGAACAGGATGGTGTCCCCTTTAGTATTTCTGTCAGATTTTTTAAAGGAAAATCACAAACTTAAAAGGCATTTTCAAAATTCTGCACACCAGATACTGGCTGTTGGCATGCTCTGTCCCGCTGCAGTCTGAAGCCTTAGGCAGAGTGGTTCAATGACAACAAACCCCTGTCTGTTCCCATCCCTGAGGTGTCCTGTCCCCTGAGCTCTAGGACTGAATCCTGCCAGGATTCATGTCTGGGCACAGACACATTTGAGCTTGTGACTGAGACTGGAACGAGCTGTCCACAACCAGGCACCCCTCACATTGGCCAGGGCAGGAGCAAGAAAACCCATAGAGAATATTTCAGAAAGGAGGTCAGAAAGGAGTCTGTGAGGGAGATCACAAAGAAGAAAAGCAGCAGGGACATACCTCCATGAAGAGACAAGTCCCGTCAATGTGGTGAAGGAGGGAAGGAGAGGGGTTTCCCTAGTCACTGCTTCACTCCTGTTGCCCATGAGTCTTCCTGAGCCCCAAAGCTTCCAGCCTTCATCCCTGGGAGCTGGCAAGAGACAAAGGCTCCAGCCTCCATGCCCAATAGTGATGCCAGAACCACCAAGTGTGGTCATCTCCCCAGCAATGGCAGTGCATGGGGCAGTCACTTCCCCAAGGTCAATGGCAGCAACAACAGGCCCCTAAACAACCTCCTCATGTCCCTCCCCAGCCCCTATGGCAAGGCTTTGCTTCCCACTGCTGTCTCTGGCCATGGCCAGGGCCCATTCAGAGGTCTTGTGTTCTGCTCATGCCTCTGGGGAACCAAGTCCTGTGGCAACCTCTGGTGCAAAGGCTATGCTTTGTTGGCTGCTGTCTCTGACCTCTGCACCCATGGCTGGGATCTCTGGCTCATGCCTCTCCTGCCTGCTGTATGAGCTGGGGGCAGCCCCAGGCACCTTTGGGGGAGGCCCAATAGTGCAGCCCCAGCTATCTCTATCTGAATATGTTCCCCTGGCTTCTACACACTGGAATGGCTCAGGGAGGGGGAAGGTCTCCTTTCCTGACAGCCTCCCTCCCTGGAGTTAGAAGTGGTGGAAGTGGCATCTCTCTGCCAGCAGCGGGGTGCCCTGGGGGCTGTAGGGGTCTCTGAGGCAGCTGCACAGCAGGACATGTGTCCTCACAACAATCATGGAGCCAAATGGTTTGGGCATTAGCAGGGAGGCCTCACTATTCGCAGCGAGAGATAACATGCTGTATTTCACCCAGAGGATGTCTTTATACTTTCCCCACCCTTCCAGAGAAGAGGCAGGACCTGCCACAAGCAGCACCTCCTTCACCCCTGCTGCCCCACTTCACCCAGAAAAGAGACTTCACTGTCCCTTGGCCAGAGGCTCCTTCAAAAGAGCAGGGTGCTTGCTGCACAGCAAGACATGGAAGTAAGGCCCCAAGCATGAACTCCTGCTCCTAAAAGTTAGCAACAACCCCTGGATTACAGCAAATCCTCTGGAAAGGGAAGGAGATGGGAAGTCACAGAGAGAACTGCCCTGGAAAGGGTTCTGGGCCCTGATCTGTTCCCATTGCACAGCTCTGGAGAGGACAGAGACCAACCACAGGGCTATCATGTTCAGTTCTGGGGCTTTAGTAGAGAATGTGTTATAGAGAATGCAGTGAAAGGAAGGAGGGCAGGGGGGAGAAGCAGGCACTCAGTGGTGCAGAGTTTTGGAGAGAGTCTGCAAAGCAAAACCTGAAAAACTAGGCTCAGGGGCTGGCAGTAGCAACTCTTTGCAGACATCAAATGGGCATAAGCAGGCCAAGGAGAGGGGTGATGTGGTGGGGAGGAAAGTTGAGGTCAGGGTGGAGGACAGGAAATGCTTCCCTAGCTGTAAATATCCTCCTTCCTGCAGCCCAAGAGCCTTACATACCAGAACCGTGGGAACAGGAGGCTTGTCCCCTGTGTGGATAAGCTGGGAAGTGACCCTGTGTGGATAAGCTGGGAAGTGACCAAGGACAGTCCCTGAGTGTCATTTGGAGCCACTTGTCTTAGGGAGGGCACCCTATTGTGAAGAAACTTCTCCCCCTGGGAGAACTGACTGCTTTTAGACTTTTAGAAAATGATGGGGAATGCACAGACTCCAAGGCTGATGCAAAGTGTCTCCTCACCCATAGGCAACTGGTAGGGGGTGCATGGGGGTGAATGTGCACTCCTGGTAGGACCGGTGCCCCCAGCAGCTGACACTGATGCTGTCGGTAGGGCTGGTGCCCCCCTGACAGGGTCAGCAGCTTCTGCGGGTGCCCCCCCCCAGATTCAGGAGGCACCAGTCACTCATGTCCTCACCACTTCCCGTAGCATTTGGGCTGGCTTCTGCCTGCAGTCTTTCCTCTTAGCCCTTCCCTCCAATTGAACCTTGAGGGCTAGCCTCTGGGTCCTTTGGGTTCTGCTGTGCTCTACAAGGGACGAAGGCTGGGTGATTTTTTTTCTGCAGTACACCAGCATGAGCCTGCTTTCTGGCATGCATCAATAAGGAATAACGGCCACAAGTTGTTGGAGAGTAGGTTTAGATTAGACATCCGTAAGAACTACTTCACAGTAAGGGTGGCTAGGATCTGGAACCAACTTCCAAGAGAAGTGGTGCTGGCTCCTACCCTGGGGGTCTTTAAGAAGCGGCTTGATGCCTACCTGACTGGGGTCAATTGAGCCCAGTTTTCCTCCTGCCCAGGCAGGGACTCGGACTTGAAGATCTACAAGGTCCCTTCTGACCCTACTTCTATGATTCTATGAACTGGTGGGTACTGAGCAGGTAGACATCTCCCAGCCCTCCCCTGCATTGCTGACAGAATTATTGATACTCCCAGGAGTGGATGCGCTGGTGCTGAGCCAGGTTGGAGAAGCAGGTGAAGCTCTTCCCACACTCTGAGCACTGATGTGGCTTCTCCCCTGTGTGGATGGACTTGTGCTAGGTCAGGTTGAAGGACTGGGTGAAGCTTTTCCCACACTCAGAACACTGATATGGCTTCTCCCCTGTGTGAATAAACTGGTGCAGGGTCAGGCTGGAGGAATGGCGGAAGCTCTTTCCACACTTGGGGCATTGATGTAGCTTCTCCCCCGTGTGGATAAGCTGGTGCTGGTCCAGGTGGGAGGATTGGGTGAAGCTCTTCCCAAACTCATGGCACTGATGTGGTTTCTCCCCTTTGTGGATAAGCAGGTGCAGGGCCAGGCTGGAGGAGTAGGTGGAGCTGTTTCCACATTCAGAGCACTGATGCAGCTTCTCTGCAGTGTGGATGTGCTGGTGCCAGGCCAAACTAGAGAAGTAAGTGAAGCTCTTCCCACACACAGAGCACCAATGTGGCTCTGCCTCCGTGTGGATGCGCTTGTGCTGGGCTAGGCTGGAAGATTTGCTGAAGCTCTTTCCACACACAGAGCACTGATGTGGCTTCTCCCCCGTGTGGATGCACTGGTGCTGGACCAGATGGGAGGATTGACTGAAGCTCTTCCCACATTCAGAGCACTGATGTGGCTTCTCCCCCGTGTGGATGCACTGGTGCTGGACCAGATGGGAGGATTGACTGAAGCTCTTCCCACAATCTGAGCACTGATGTGGCTTCTCCCCAGTGTAGACGTGCTGGCGCTGGGCTAGGCTGGAGGACTGGGTAATGCTCTTACCGCACTCTGAGCACTGATGTGACTTCTCCCACATGTGAATTTGCTTGTGTTCAGTCAGGTAGGACAAGTGGGTGAAGCTCTTCCCACACTCAAAGCACTGATATGGCTTCTCCCCTGTGTGGATGAGCTGGTGTTTGGCCAGGATGAAAGAGTGGGTGAAGCTCTTATCATACTCAGAGTGCTGATGTGGCTTCTCCCTTGCATGCATTTGCCTGTGCCTGGCCAGGCTGGAGGGCTGCTTGAAGCTCTTCCCACACCTGGTACAGCAGTATGTCTGTTCCCTCCTTTGCACACACTGGTGCTGGGACAGGCCTTGCCAGCAGATGAAGTTCTTCTCGCACTTGGTGCAGCAGTGTATCTTCCTCCCCAAGCAGATGCTCCGGTGCTGAGCCAGGGAAGAGAAATGGGTCTTACAACACATGACGCAGTGGTACAGATGCTTCTCCCTGTGCATGTGTTGGTTCTTGACCAGGTCCAAGGGGCACACAAAGCTCTTCCCACATTTAGTGAAGTGGTGGGGGAGCCCTCCAGAATGGATCTTGCAGTGAGTAGCCAGGATTGAGAGGCAAGTGAAGTTCTTCCTGCACTTGGTGCCTACGCAGGACTTCTCCCCAGGGTACCTTATTTTGTGCAGAGCCAGGAGTGAGGGGTAACTAAAGCTTTTCTTGCACACAGGGAAGGAGTGGGCTCTCCTCCTGGGCTTGGTGATGAGTTCCAGCTTCCCTCTGAGGCCCTCCCCACTAGCTTTGTTTGGATGCAGTCTCTCTCTCCAGTGGAACTTTGTCTTATTCTTCAGGTCTCTCAGCTCCACAAATTCTTCCCTGGACCCAGGGCTCTTTCTGGCTTCTGTTCCTTTTCCACTTTCATGCCCAACTGGAGATGCTACCCAATTCACTGCTATATTCTCCTTCTGCTTGTGAGGCCTACCCTGACTCCTGTGCCACTGGTCCCTCTCAGGATGCAGCAAGTCCAGCCCATGCAAACGCCCTGGAGAAGTCTGTGGCAACTCCACATTTGCAGGCCTTTTTTCAGCAGCCTGCTCCTCAGCTCTGCTCAGCAGCCAGTCACCTCCTGTGTGGGGAAGAGAAATTCCAGATTAGTCCCTGCCCTGATGGCAAAGGACAAACACTGCTATTCCTTCTGCTGGGATGGGCCTCTGAGCAGGACTGGATTTTGTCACCTGTGTTTTCTTAAGAAAACAAGGTCTTCCTTTCAAACCCTAAGCACTGGGTGTGAGGGAGGGGCAGATCCCTGTGCCATGTTAACTTTCCCTGCTTGATGGATTTCGGAGCCAGATTCTCAGAGTTGCTATCTGCCCCATCACCTCAGACCCTGCTGGGAAAAACACAAGGGACATGTGCATCAGAACAGTACATGAATGGCTTCATGATCAAATGAGCTAAGGATGAGACCAGAAGGATCTGCTTAAAGGAAGAATGAGGTCTGCTACATCCCACAGCAGTGGTGGGTCCAGGGGGAGATTATACCAAGCACTATAGCTGAATTGGCTCACATACACCAGAGCCAAAGTACATTGATGAGACTGCTCTCTAGTGCTCACCCTTGCTTTCTGACAGTCCCGAGAGCAGCATCTGGGTACAGCCTTGTGGTGGATTTCTGGGGCTTGTCAGCATTCATGGGTATGTTGGGAGCTCTGCCTTACATTGGACCAGCTGCTTTTGTTTGTTACAAAAAGCCAACGTTTTTCATCCCTCCTCCATCCAAGAAATATTCTGGAAGGGAAGTATTTAGAGTTGTGGCTTTCTCTTCCGAGAGAAGCAAGGCTATGTTTCCTACCTACCTCCAGGGAAAGGTCTAGTGCAGGGAGGAGCCCATGGAGCTTCCTCTGCTGACAAGGCCCAGGTGGCCTGCATGTCACAGGAATCTGCACCAGGACAAAGGCCTTGGCATGAATCTGCACTTGGATTCTGTGCCGAGTCTCAGGCTCTGTGACATTCAAGGGTCCTGAGATGAAACGGAAAGGGGGGTATTCACTTCATCCCACAACATGAAACCTTTTCAATCCTACTCGCTCCATGGAATCACTTAATGCAGCCTGAGACCATGATTAAACATTTCCTGAGTCCCAGGTCAGCCTGACGAGGAGAAACCAAGCAAAGCCCAGGCCTCTCTCTTGTTCTGTGTTGCCATTACTGTTGGACATCTGTATACCATGTTGATTTCCATGGCAGACTATAAATCTCATCATGTCCTGGGAGAGGGTGTTAGAGAGGCATGGCTACCTTGTGCTAGGGAATCACCTCTCACAATGGTATGTGAAGCTGGAAATTTAAGATCATGGTATCCAAGGGAAACCAGATCTGTGCCTAAAAAAGTCAAGGCAGCAAACTCTATTGTCCCCTAACAGCTGTAATTAGGGAAAGGAACTGTTGTTGTATCCACAGCTTTGAATTTCAGGGATAACACCTGCTGGGACACATTACAAGATAGGTTATTTTAGGTCAGCGCAGGGCAGGCCCCCTGTTAGTCTGGGTATGGAACTTTTCTGAGAAGGGAGTTGGGTGGAGTGGAGTCCCACAGCTCACCTGGTAGCAGATCCTCTGACCCTGAGATTTCCCCACAGTCTTCATCATCACGGACCCAGAGCTCTACCTCTCCTCGCTGGATGCAGCAGATTAAGTCAGATGTGGAACCTCGATATCCTGTTTGGGGCAGTGGTTAAGGAGTGTTTGTGGCTGGTACTGGATAGACAATAAGAAACCGGAATTTGGGGAATAGATCCCTTCAGCTGAAGGACAAGGGAGAATGGACATTTAGGATGAATGAGATGGCACTGCAGGGAGAAGCCTTCAAGTCAATAGATGATGGTCCTTGCCACCCAGGTAATGGAGGGGTGGTCATAGGAAACAAAGCACAAACCACTCTTTAAGTATAAAAACGGTATGAAACTGACAGAGACACGAGGGACGGGGTGATGATGCAGTGATCTGAGAGGAAAGCAGAAAAGTTTTTGCTATTTTCAAGGAACCAAAATTAGAAGACACTGGACACACTTATGGATGGATAACATTTATCTTATTCGTATAATTCCAGGCAAAGGAGTGGAAATGAGTTTATTCTCACTGAAGGTTTAAAGTGATGCCTCATGGCATTGAAAAGAATCTGTGACAGATGGTTCACAATTAAACTTTTTCTCTGGGAGAGAGGGTAATTCATTCAGGAAGGCACAGGAAAGGATGATTTTCTAAGAACTGTAGATGCAACTAAAGCGATCACCTCATCCAATGGCAGGATGATCCCAGGGCAGAGATGAGTGCACAGATTGGCAGATACTGCAGGGTTTATGACAAAGTTCATGGGAGTCATGAAGATGGACAAAAAAAGAAAAAAGGGAGACACATTTTATATCATATGAAATCCCATAACATGAAAATGACCTAGTTTCCCAAAACAAGGACACCCTAGAATCACCTCTAAAAGAGAGGGCTGTTCCAGACAAATAAATTGCACCAGAACTAGACATAGAGATATTACTGTAGTGAAAGTGTGGTATCTTATGAGAGCTTAGTGGCCCAGCACAGCATACCATTTGATGGCTTTGGGCTACTCCCTAAATATAACAGAGGGGAAACTGGGGGAGACATGAAATGGTAGAAATTAGCTTGTAGGGCTAAAATGGTAGATATTAGCTTGTAAGACAAAGCCTGAGCTATGTAGCAAAGTCAACCAACAGTTTTCTTACTATAATAAAGAGTTTGATTCAGATACACTTTGAGATACAGGGAAGGAGTTTGCACTTTCAGCTGCTGAAATAGTATTAAGTGAAACCCAGTCACATAATGAAAAATCAGGTGGCAAAACTTGTGGAGGAATATATAGGTTTCATGAGGTATTGAAGGAAAGAGAAGTACTCAAAAACTGGCAAAGCTGGATTTGGACCAAGTTTTACGCACAAAAGATAAGAATATATAAAGGGGAGCAGTCAGAGAAGTAGCACTGAATGACTTGCATCAGAAACTGAAACAGAGTGATTGAGGAAAAAAAAAAAAAAAAAAATCGCTCAGCTGGCTAAAATCCACCATGCATAAACAAATTACTTGGATTCTGAACCCATTGCTGTTAGTGCTAGAAAAGAGGATTAACACACAGTCTCTGACAGGTCTTTCATGCCTGAAAGGCATATTTCAAAAACTTTTTAAAAAGGAGAATTAGCCAAAGAACATTTGCATCTGTTGACACTGAGCGCATCTACACGTGCAAATGCTGATAGATGACTTTACTCCACAGTAATTTACTAAGGAGTAAACTCACCCTGGGCAGGCATCTACAAGTGTGAAGGCACTTGGGAACAGATTTTCTCCTAATGGGAACAGCCTGAAGAGGGTTGCTTCCACCCTGTTCTGCCCCTATGTAGCAGCCAGTGGGAGCTCCAGACTAGCCCAGGGGCTAGCAGGGAGTACCGAGCCAGGCAACAGCTGTGCCCTGGCAGGGGCTGGGAGATTACTCCATGCCCAGGAGTAGGCTCCAGTGGCAGAGCCCAGGCTTGAACAATGTCCCTCTGGGACATTGAATGTCCCTCTGCCCCAGTAGCAGGGAGCTCCCAGCCCTGGCTCTGCAATTCGGGGCAAGGGGCTGGAAAAGAGCTGTTGGAGAGAGGCAGATCCCATAGAGACAGGTCCTGGTGGGGCAGGTAGCAGTGAGCTTCAGGCTGGGTGGGGATTCCCCACTCAACTGGGGGCGGCTGAGAGCTGTCCCACGATTTCCCACCCAGCTGGGGACTTGTTGCTAGCTGGCCCACCAGCAGATCAAGGCAGAAGGCTGGGACCTGCCCCTCCCCTGAAGTTCTTTCCAAGTCCCATGCCTCGATCACCTGATTGGGGCACGGGGCTGGGAAAGCTGTGGGGCTGGAACCTGCTCCAGACCAGGACAGTTCCTGGCCAGCCCTGGGCTAAGCAAGGAAGTATGCATGTGCAGCCCAGCACTGGCTGAGACCTGTCCAAAATGGGACAGTTCCTAGCCAGCTCCAAGCTGCACATGTAGACTTTCCCACACAGGCCGGGGCTGAGAACTGTCCCAGTCTGGGGCAGGTACCAGCCAGCTCTGGGCTGGGTGGGCAACTCTCCCTGTGCAGGGAGCTCCAGGCTCTGCAATCACAACGGGGGCCAGGAGATTGCTTCCTGCTGTCAGGACAGGGGGACATTGTCCCAGCCCAGGCTCTTCCACTGGAGCCTATTTCAATAGCAGGCAGCTCCCAGAGGGAGAGAGCAATCTCCTGGCCCCCACTCTGATCATAGAGCCAGGCCCAGGAGCTCCATGCTGCCGGGGCAGGGGGACATTTTCCCAGCCCCGGCTCTGCCATTGGAGCCCACCCCATCAGCAGGCAGCTCCTACAGGCAGGGAGCAATCTCTCAGACCCCGCTCCAGATGTGGAGCCAGGCCCAGAAACTCCCTACTGCCAGGACAGGAAGACATTGTCTCAGCCTAGGCTCCATCATTGGAGCCTGTCCCAGCAGCAGGCAGTTCCTGGGGCTAGGGAGTAATCTCCTGCCCCCTGCTGCCCGGCTGACTGGGAGCAAATTTGTTCCCAGTTGGTTGCCTACACATGCCTTACCGCATAGTAACTACTCTGCAGTTATTTTTCTGCAGAATAGCACATTAACTAACCATGGAGTAGACCAATTTACTGTGCAGTAAGCATCTGCACATGTAGATGGTGACGCTTACTGCACAGTAAATTTATCTACTGCACAGTAAAGCATCTTGTGTAGATGCACCCACTGTAATTGAATGTTGGAATTCCAGGAGACAGTACACAGCAAATTAGGAAAGTAGTAAACTGAAAAAGTGGGTAAACAGGGGAGTTGCATACCTAGTCTGTGGAAGATCCCGAAACATTAGGAGAGTAATGAGATGTGAATTATTGTATTTCATCTAGAAAATGAACAGGATAAGAGACTGGGGGTGAAAGGTGACTAATATAATATCATATTTCCTGTTCAAAGAGATGGGTAGTAAATACTAATGACTGGAAAATGGTTACTTAGCCACTCCTTGAAAAAAGTAAAGAAAAGGTTATTGCAGCTACAATCAAGAGGACCACCAACATAAGCGATAATCAATATGTTTTTAGTGTGCAAAAATCCTCAGAAAGCACTAGAAAAGCAAACTGACCCAGTAAAAGTTAAGTCCCTCAAATGTCCACACAAGCCAGAACAAACCCTTGTATTAGAGATCTTCTGGAAATGAAAGCTGGTTTTCACTAGGCCCTGCACTGAGCCCAGTTCCTTTTATCACAGTGATAGGCATCTGTCATGCAGAAGGGTTTTAGAAAGAGGACAAGGAAACTTTTGAGAATGGCAGAGTGAGCTGGAGAGTACAGGTCTCAAAGCAAGTACAGCAAAGCCAGAGTCAGTGGTCTGTATAGAGGAAGATGTTAGGAAGTGTCATAACCAAATGAGTTGAGTGTCCCTGTCACAATAGAACTGCCCTGAATAACCGCAGTTACTTTCAAATTTGGTCACATTTCGCCTCATTAGGATTCAGTCCGTTATTGGCTACTCCGGACATATAAAAGTTCATGCAACTTCCGCCCAAGTCGGAGACCTCTGAGCACGCAGCAGAGTAACCACGGAGAACTCTATAGCGCAATCGAGGAAACTTGGCGGACTGATCACCCACCGATATCTCCCCGTCACCAGGTCCTTTTGACGTATCCCGCTATCCTGCAGGTTCCTTTTCGTTCAAAAGCTCGTTTACTCGTAACTCATTTTGTTATCCGACAACGCAAGCAAGCTACCTCGAAGCCTGCGCTGCCATTCCACGCGGCATAAGTAAAAGCAATCTTTTAAAACCAATAAGCTGTCTCGCCTCTCCATTGCCATTAAACTAGCGATCCTCGGGTCGGCTCCAGCCGCCCAAGACATGGCGTCACGAACAGGATCCAAGGGCACAGCGGTGGAGAAGATTCTAATTGAGTGTTGCCCATGGCGCACCGGGGGGCGCCATGTAGCTGACTCGAATGAGCTATGGGCCCACATCGCATACCACCTAGCGGGCGGGTCGACTGAAAGGCTCATCAGTGGCTACCTTTCGCTAAAAGGGGAAAAAGGAGTTTCAAACGAATGGGAAGCACACCTTCACCCCGGGGCGTTTGGGTGCGTAGTGAACATGTAGCTGACTTGAATGAGCTATGGGCCCACATCACATACCACCAAGCGGGCGGGTCGACTGAAAGGCTCATCAGCAGCTACCTTTCGCTAAAAGGGGAAAAAGGAGTTTCAAACGAATGGGAAGCACACCTTCACCCCGGGGCGTTTGGGTGCGTAGTGAACAATGAGCGGGTCCGATTCAGACCCCGAGATAAAGTAGGCACCGTGTCCCTTGCCGGAGTAAAACTGAGAGGCGTAGCAGACCTAACTCTCGCCCAAGAGTATGCCCGCTGTATAAGGTGTGTGAGAGAGGGTGGAGAACTGACACCAGTTGACCGGTTTAATCCCCCGACCCTAACACCCGGGTCAAGGGGGCACGAGCTGCTTTCAGATCTCCGGGAAAAGTTGGAGTCGGAGGACTGTATCGTGGTGCGGTGGACGGGCCCGAAGTGAGACAAGGGGAAAATGTTGAACATAATGTTCCGCACTATTACAACCTTGCTGCGGGAAAACGCAAATTTAGAGGTTCAACTGCTCACAGCCGCCCAGACGGC